CCTGGCTAATTTCCTTATTTTTTGTGGAGATAGGGAACTCAGCATGTTGCCCAGGCTGATCACAAACTCCTGGCTCAAGCAACTCTCCCGCCTCAGCCTCCCAAAGCACTGGGATTATAGGCTAAGCCACTATGCCCAGCCTGCTAAAACACATTACTTAACTTCTCTAATATTCACTGTTCAAATCCAAAATTAAGTTTAACAATTCTGATTTGCATATTGGGAACAAATTAAATGATATACTTGCAGCTTCTAATGAAATGCAAGATGAACAGATGCAGATAGTAATCATTTAATGAATACTTATTGAATAAAATCCACTCATTCTCCATTTCATTTTCTTTCTAAAAAATATAGAAATAATGGGTATAGATGTATGTAGGCATAAGTATTATGAATACATATATATGCATATATATGTAATTCCCTGTTCTAGGAAATTTCATCTATGAGGTGGGTGATAACTAGTTGCTGCCATTTATTTTAGCAAAATACTTTAAAGTTTGGCTTTTGAAAACTATTTCTGAGACTAGCAATTAGCCTCTTCATATTAAATTAGCTTTAAAAAAATTGTATTACGTATTATGTTACAAGGGTATCACCTGTCCTATAACTTCAGGTCAGTTGTTCATTTTCTTATTATGGGATATTTATGTTTATATAAAGAAAGGGACAGATGGAAGCAGAGCAGAGGCATTGAAGTGATCATGATAAAGATTTCCAGAAACCTTCCTTTTCTTTTTGATTATTGAATTAAACACAGTGGTTCATTAATTCATAGTGAAGGAAATAACTGAAACTGATGATCATATTTTTCACATCAACTGAAGCTGCATGGCACAATAAAAAGTGTAGAATTGAAAGTAAGAAAATCTACGTTTCAGCCTAAACTCTTACCTGTGCATATCACGTGACTTTGGGAAAATGGTGTACATCATCAGATTCTCAGATTCTTTATTGTTGAAATCCTGTATTTAAAACTGATTTATAAATTAAGTGATATTTCTTTGTTTTGGACATTCAAATAATGTATTAATGGCTGGGGAAAATAAAAATAATAACAAATTAATGTGATTTATTGTCAAAGTCCACATGATTACAAACATTTTTCAGTTTTCTAAATAGTTGATAGGAAGCATGATATTGGTAAGGGAGGTTATATAATTATCTAGAGCAAGGTTTCAATAGTTTTCGCATGATCAGGATTTGGGGTCAGATAATTCTGTGGTGTGGTGTGGGCTATCTTGTGCATTGTAGGATGTTGAGCAGACTAAATCCTCACTAGAAGCCAGTAGCACCACCCCTCCAAGTCATAACAAGCCAATATGTCTCCAGAGACAGTAGAATCTCTCCCACAGAGCAAAATCACCCTCTATTAAGAACCACGGATCTAGACAGTTAGCTGAAGCTTCTTTATTTACCCAGAATAGACTTGACCCAAAGATGATTAAAATAAATTGAAATATTTTTTACCACATAAGTCACAAATGCACACATTTTTATATAGACAGATGGTATCATCCCATGTGCCTAATATTCTTTTTGGATTATATCTCATGTCACAGCAGAAGGCACAATCATTTTGTCAACTGTATCAGAATGTAATAACATTTATCACCAAATCAATGACCTGTATAGAGAGCGCAGATCTGAAATGACTTAATGTGACTTCTTTTTTAAAATAAAAATACTACAGTAATAGTGAGGCAACCTGACTTCTATTTCTCTAGTGTTCTTCTTGCCTAAAAATAAGCTAAAGTAATTTGTCCCAGGAACTTTGTAATTTTTTTAATTTATCACTTTGCTGATTTTGTTTGGTAATTCTAAATTCAAGCCCTATAATCACTCATAGAAAAATAAGTTGTCCTCAACAAAACAACCAAATATTTTTATTATGACAGCATGTTTGCTTTTGTGTATAATTTTTTTTTTTTTTTTTTTTTTTTTTTTTTTTTGAGACAGAGTCTCACTCTGTCACCCAGATTGGAGGGCAGTGGCACGATCTTGGCTCGCTGCAACCTCCGTCTCCTGGGTTCAAGCAATTCTCTGCCTCAGCCTCCCAAGTAGCTGGGATTACAGGTGCATGCCACCATGCCCAGCTAATTTTTGTATTTTTAGTAGACATGGGGTTTCACCATATTTGTGTATAATTTTTGACAAGTTTTTTCTGTGGTAAAATTTATCTAGAGAAAAAGAGCAAAAGATATTTTTCCTGTGAAGATAGTATTACCAATGTCTTCTAAAATATCTCTGATGTATGTATATACACTCAACTACTAGAGAATAATAGTAAGCAAAAATAGGGACAATATAATTCACTGTGCAGTAGAGAAGTTATTAACAGGAGGGGAAAAAGTAGAAAACAAAAGCAGAAGAGAGTTAGAAAGAGCAGTACATGAGACACAGAGGAGGTTCATTCCAGGCATTCCATCCAGAAACCAGATGTAATAGCACAAAACCATAGTCCATATATAGATAGTGACTCTGCATAAAGAAAAGTAGAACGTGGACTACGGCCAGTTGGATCAGGTAAGGGGCAAGCCTTCTCCCAAGGACAGCACTGAGATATTGAAGTGCGATGAGGAAACGACTTCTACAATTGCTCAAGAGGCAGCCAAGATTATATGTAGAGCCTGCTTTGCAGGACCTAGATGAGCATTTGCTGCCCGCCCATTCTAAGAGAAGAACTGAGCAGCCTGCATAGGGTTAGAGGCTCACTTTAACATTTCCTGGTAGGTCCAGGAAAGAACTGACAGAATCTCTCCAGATTTCTGTGTTACATTTGAGCATTGTTTCTTGAGTAACATTAACTTATTAGACCCAAATTCCATAATAATCCAGCTGAGATCTGAAAGGTGTTCTTTCAGCGCTGGACATGAGTCTAGACTTAAATGAAACCTTGGCTCCCTGGAGACTTCTAAGTTCCAGCCAGATGAGTCTGTATTTCCAATTGTTTTCTAATGTAGGTTCAATAAAGTAGAGTAGTAGTGGTTTATTGGTTTATGTTTTTTAAGGCAATACATAAATTAAAATTAGTCAACTGCATTCCTGGGCTAAGGAGTAGCTCTAATTGCTAAGAAACATATTCTGTTAGTTTTCAGCCATAGTCTTATTTCTCCTGCATTGAAATCTAATGTTCTAAGATAAAATATTTTCTATTAAATTTGATACATTTAAGTAAAACTGCATATGCCTTCATCAAAGGAATGAGTACCACTCTTCAAAGCAGAATCAATTTGCAATTGTGGCAGATGATGTTCCTCAAATGTAGCTGCAATTCCACAATGGTACTTTGATGTCTTTGAAGTAATTGACGTGAGGAGTGATTCTGTATTTTACACTGTTCTACGACTTCCAGTTTAGTCATTCATCAGAGGGATACTCCAGAGGGCCCATGCTTCTTGCAGTTTTTATTTTGCAAACAACTTTGCATTGTAAATAAAAGTCTGCTTTAAAAAAAAAAAATCTGATTTTACAATGGGAAAAGTTTTCTCATTTTTACATAAAAATCTGTTCTTCCCTTGAGACTTAGTGTTTATGATCCATAATATATCATGTATACTATATCATTTCTTAATTGACAAATAGTTCTATTTTAAGCAACATAGATTGCATTTTTTTTTATTTTTTCAAAAAAGTCTGAAGACTAAAGAATCAAACTAAACACTCTAATTCCCTCAGAAATTTCTGGGGAATATCTAGTCCTAGATTATTAGAAACCAGAAGGAAAAGAGACAGAAGAGAAATAGACTGGAATCAAATAAGTGTCCAAGATCTTGAAACTTGGCTCTTGACTGAGGTGTGAATACGCCAGTCCACCTAATAAAAGCTCGGAGGCAGGTATAGCTGTTCCATAGTGATAGTTTTAAAATCTTTCATCTCTGATTGTTGTGGATTCAACATATTTCTAAATTCCATTATCCATTTGCATACCCTTCAGTCAAAAGATTTAGGATTAAATGCTCATGTCACTGAGAATCCCTATTTGTAACTGGCAAAATAATACAGTATTCCAGGATCACTAGAAGTAATGAAAAGGTGATAAAATTGAAATGGTTTTCAGAAAAATAAGGACAGTGCAGTGAACTTTTTACAAATATAAACATATTTCATTTAAAGCATTGTCTTTGAAATATGAGATTGTTCTTTCCTTAAGCCTTTTTGCCTTATAAAATAATTACTGTAGTCAACAGTAGGCTATTTATTGTTGTTTTTAACATCTATACTTGGCAAAATGAAAAGTTGCCAGTCTTATGTTAGTCCCCACTTGTTTTCTTTGAAATGGTACTAAACTCTAAAAATCTAGAATGGGAACCACTACTATTGAAAATATCAATGGGAACTTCAGTGATTTTCCTTTTCATCAAGCCCAGGGCTTAGAGGAAGGCATGCACAACTCACTGCCTGTTTTGGTTTTTTTTTGTTTTTGTTTTGTTTTGTTTTGTTTTGTTTTTCAGAAAAACTGAAGCTTCATAGCAACTTTGAGGGAGCTGGAGTTTTCTCGCATCTAAGACATTTTATTTAAAGGATAAATTGTATATCCTGGTTTCCATCAATTTCCAAGGAGCTGGATTAAAATATCATTGACTGCTAAAATATATATTACAACGTAGTTCCTCAAAGTAGTAGCCGTTATGATTTCATTATTCCTTCATCTGAATCCCTCTCACATTGAAGATTTACTCTATTTGCTAAAATTTAATGTAGCATCATTTGGTTATTTTATAAAATATTTCTAAATTCCATTATCCATTTCCATAACCTTCAGTCAAAAGATTTAGGATTAAATGCTCATGTCACTGAGAATCCGTATTTGTAATTGGCAAAATCATCCAGTATTCCAGGATCACCAGAAGTAATGAGAAGTTGATAATATTGAAAAACGTCCTATGTGATTGGACACAGACTTGAGAAAATACGGGGTGCCTGTGAGTTGGGTCCTAGGTGAGTTATGGTGCGTTTGATGCTCTGCTGTTTTCTTCCTTCTTTCTCCTTTCCAGTGAAATCAGATGAGTTACAGACCATCAAGAAAGAATTAACCCAGATCAAAACTAAAATTGACTCCTTGCTAGGGCGCCTGGAGAAGATTGAGAAACAGCAGAAGGCGGAGGCAGGTAAGTGAAAAGGATCTGTGATCACAGACAGGTCAGAATTGAACCAGTGAAACGTTGTCAATCACAGAGGCAGTACAGGGCCAGAAAGACACTGGTTGAGTTTAACAGAGGTTAATACAGATATGCCAACAATATCTTTAAGCCAAGAGTTACAATAATAAAATATGATTTTTTTTTATTTTAGAGAACATGAACCAATTTTTCTAAGATTCATACTAAAAATAAAAGGCAAGGAAAAGTGTTTTGATGGAATAATCAGCACTAGTTGAGTCACAATTGAGTTTGTCTCAATATCAAGTAACCTTTCAGAAAATCAATCAACAGAATAATGCTATCAGGCTAACATAATATTCACATATAATTAAATTAACTGCAGCAAAATTTGACAGGTTTCAGCAATTATTATAATACCCAACTCCTGCCTTTGCTGCCACCCTGAAAGACTTCAGTAGCCAAGTTCAGGAACCTCAAGACTAAGAGCATGCGCCTGGCTACCCACAGGCCAAGTTATTTGATTACATGTTTTACAATTTAATAGCCTCTGTCTTTTGAATTGTCAACCTGACTCAGCTCCTTTCTAGTACAACTCTAATGCTCTTTTCATATGGCTACAGATATTTTTTGAGTCACCAAGTATATGAGAACTGGTATAAACTAAGAAGTAGGCCACAGTTTGAAAAGTGTATTCTACAAGGCTTTAGATGCCTCAGAAGCCTCCTTGGAGTTAAGATGGGGATTAGGAAGAGACCCAGTAGGTAGCCAGACTTATGCTTCTTCAAAACCCAGCCCTTTCTCTGACCAGTGTCATTTCCCTGTATCTGTTCTAGATACTGGCATTCAACGTAAGACTTAATTTGCTGGAAGAGTTCCACTTCTTATAAAACAAATAAATAAAGTGTGAAAGCCCTTGATAAATCTGGCCTCTTCATTTTGCAGATGAGAAAACAAAGGCTCAGGAAAGTAAAGTGATTTTCCTAGATCTGTATATCTAGTTAGTGATAGACCTCTGTCTCAAACACACAGGAGCCTGTCAAAAACTGACAGGGGCTTGTAACTGAATTTAATGACTTTTCCCATTTGCAGCCCCAATCTCAGGTTCTCCCCAGGGCTTTGGTCCAAGATTTCACTGAAGTATGGCTATCTGGGTAACACCTAAATGATGAGAACTCATGGGGACCTAGGGCCCCTGAGCTACCACACACAGGAGCCTGTCAGTTTTTTGACTCTTATCACTGGGGTGAGTGTTGGAGCTTACCCTGGGCGGTGAGCCATATAGGGCTCAAGAATGAAAAGAAGCAGATTTAAGACGGTAGTGTAGCATAATGGATGACAGAAATAAATGCTGGTTCAAATCATTACATACCACATACACAGTTTTCTCATTTATAAAATGATACTGATGGCTGCCTCACATGGTGAGTAATGAACAAAGTAGCATATGTAAATTATATAGCACAGAGTTAAAAATATAATCATTGGAGTTATCAAGGATTAGTAGCAACACACCCATGTACAGGCAAATGGACATTTCCTCATACTTTCATACAGCCCATTTTTAAAAAAACACAAGCCATGTACCTAGCACATGGTCAACTCACACTAACACTTGTTAAGGTAGATGAGTAATGATAGATTAAATGGAATCTTTCTTAATTAAAAATTTCTATTACAAGTATATTTTCTATTCAGAAAAAGTACACTGCCTATACTTTTTAATAAAAAATTTTAGATTTTAGAAAGTTTTTACATGCTGTCTATGGCACTGAGGTGTTACTGTAACTGAAATATTCTGTGACGTTGCCTAAATCAATATTTCCCTTTGAGGAACTCTGTAAAATTCATTATTATGTAAAACAACCCTTACAGCAAAGGACTTTGATAACCAATTTGCACTTCAGTTTAAAGGATTATGGAGAACTCATTTAAATATAAATCACCTCAAAGAGAAAAATGTGATCCTTATTCCATCATAATATACCTTCAGTTTCCTGCAATGACTAATACCTTCCAGATATCTTTTTGGAAGATCATTTAGAAATGTAACACTAAAATTCAAAGCTTGCATCTTTTTTTCCTGAGATGTCACTTACTTTTGAACATGTTTAACCTTTTCCAGTCATGAGACAGTTGCTTTTAAAATAATAGACTTAGTCCTTTGATATTTATGTCTTTCTCTTTAACTTTTTATGAAGAAAATGAATTAATTTGTAACTCCATTCTTTCAGTAATTGTTTCCTGAATAGTGTCTGTATTTATAGAGATAAAAGATAAATGTTTTATACATTTTACTATGTTTTCTTTATGAAAAGAAATCAGGGTTGCCTGGAAGGAATTAACACTACCTTATGGAAAGTTGAGTGAAATGCACTAAAACTCATTTTAAAATGCTCATTGCCTCCCTATTCAAGGGGACAGTCATTATAATGCTTAATTAGTTGAAAGCTAATTACTTGGTAGCTAGCATTTACTCTTCATTATTACTCTTTCATAAATTTCTCACTCCTAATTTACTATTAGTTATTTGATAGTGAAATTTTCCAGCACAGAAGTAATGGCAGGAAGGAGATGGAGAATCGGAAAGTGTGGGGAAGGACACACAACATGGGCTGTGCCTGAGGTCAAGTTCCATAGTATCTTTTTTTTTTTTTTTTTTTAAAGTAAACTCCTAAGCTCTCAGTGCATTATTTTGGATTTTCTATACCTTAAATTGCTCAAATAGATGTGTGTGTGGAGTCCTGTCATTTGAGATTATTAAGTTCCTCAGAACAAGATCATGTCTTCTCTTCCCTAACTCTGCCCAACACCATGTATTATGTACTGGGTACAACTTGGCAAGTCATTTAACTCTCTTAGGTCTCAAGACTTTCAAATGTAAACTAGAGGAATGGGTTATGGCCTCAAATGTATATTCCAGCTTCTAAAATTACGATTAGTGTGCATCCACCATGCATATATTATTTTTTCCATTACATCACACAACTTCTTTGGGGATATAGTGACTATGTAGAATATAGAAAACCAGAACTAACACTTAAAATCAGTTTGGCCAGCAATTTTGCCTCATTCTTAGATAATTCTTTTAAAAGGGCCACATATAAGTTGCCACATATGCATAGCACAAATTACATGCTTTACACAAAGATGTTAAGTGACCAAAAACAGTGAAAGGCACAAGAAGGAAAAGTAAAGACTGGGTATCATGCAATGAGCACAGTTACTCCATGGGTAACTACATTTTTATTAAAAAAAAATTACATTTCAAGTGCAGACTTTCTGAAGTCAAAAGGCAATTAGACATTATTTAGTTCAATTTTATTCTCACTGTTATGCCTGATACATAAGCAGCCAAATCTGACTGGGACAGTTCCAATGATAACATTGGGATGTTAGACCTAAGCCTTAGAGAGGTTACAAATAGGAGTCCCACAAGATAAATTCATCCTACCCATATGCTTGGTATAAGATATGAAGTTTTCAAAAATAAATTAATGTCAAAAAATTGGAATATTGTAAATAAATTTCAAAATTTGAGTTTTAAAAATATTGAACTTTTCAATACTGCTACTCACTCTATCACTCTATATATGGCATGCACTTTTCAGTTTACTAATATCTTTATCCAGCCAGTTCACATATTTATATTATCGGTCCCTGTTCACATTTATGTCTGAGACTCCTATTGTAGGTCTTCCTTACACTGAGCCAAAATGTATTTTGCTTTCACTTGGTTCAGTTATCACTTTTATGTTCTCTGGAAAGAAACTTAATGTCTAATTCCTTGTGATACAACAGTCAATTAAGTATTTAAAGCGAGTGGCTCACGCCTGTAATCCTAGCACTTTGGGAGGCTGAGATGGGTGGATCACTTGAGGTCAGGAGTTCGAGACCAGCCTGACCAACATGGTGAAACCCCGTCTCTACTAAAAATACAAACATTAGCCAGATGTGGTGGCACATCTGTAATCCCAGCTACTAGGGAGTCTGAGGCAGGAGAATTGCTTGAACCCGGGAGATGGAAGTTGCAGTGAGCTGAGATAATGCCACTGTACTTCAACCTGGGCAACAGTGAGACTCCATCTCAAAATATTTAAAAAAATAAATTAATAAATTAAAATATATATATATATGACATACATATATATATATTTTTAAGGGAGCTATAAGTATCCTCACCCCTCCAAAACCTTTTAACAGAGAGTTGATATCATTGGCCTGTGGGTATTCATCTTAACTACATTCAAATTTTGATCACAGCATCTTAGAGGCCTTTTTGGTCTAGAGAAATATCAACAGTTCCTGCAGTTGCTTCTCATTTAACTTGGTTTTGTACCTTAAACTATTGCCATCTCTCTTCTCTAGTCATTATTGTAGTCTGTCAACATTACATTGCTCAGAATGGAAAGTGTTGCTCCAGATGTAATCTGACTGCAGTAGCCTGTAACATGACTACTATTTCTGTTCTGAATACCTTACTGCTTTCATTGATACTTCAGATTTGGTGATGCTTCTGGTTACAGATGATGAATTAAACACAAGAATTGAGCAGTGTTCTCCCTTGAAACTGCATTAAAAATAAGGATAGGGTTTAGCAGCTGGACAGGAGGTATACCTAATTTAGCATATCCTAGAAATCCAAGTCCAATTTTGATCACAAACTCCGAAAAAGTTCAGAATTCAAGGCATCATATTCCTCGGGAAAAGAGGACATAAACAGTTGAAAGTCTGTTTAGGAAACAGATTCTTATGTCCCAACTATCTCTGCTGCACTTTGAAAGAAAGCTGGAGAAGTTTCCTCTAGAGAAGGTAAAACAGTGGGTCTCAGGGCTGGTAGATGACAAGGAAACTTGAGAGCACTTAAAAGCAGTTGGGGGGCCGGGCGCGGTGGCTCACGCCTGTAATCCCAGCACTTTGGGAGGCCAAGGTGGGTGGATCACGAGGTCAGGAGATAGAGACCATTCCTGGTTACACAGGTGAAATCCCGTCTCTACTAAAAATATAAA